TTGAGATTTGTAGATATTTTTGCACTTGATGATTGATGCATGTTGCTAGCATTTCATATGTTGACATTTTTGTTAGATTCTATATTTTGGGTTTGCTATGAGACTAGCAAAATGTAAGTTTGGGGGTATGATAAGCGCCGAATATTGTATATTCAAGCGCCCTTAGTTGTATTAGTTAAGTCCATTAGTTGATGATAATGTGTAGTTTAGCTTTATTTGTTTATTTCCGTCTTCTTTCAGGTCAGTTTCCCCATTTATGGTTAAAGAGGCGGTTTTGTCAATCTTTTGAAGAATCGAAGCGCGCCGTTGCTAGGGACCGTCTTTTGGGCCAAGTTACTTTAGTCCTCATGCAAGTGAGTCTCGCAGCATCGTAATCAGAATGACGATCGTGTCGTCGGGCTAATCCGAAGTGGCCAAAGAGAAAACTGCATGTTTTGAACACAAGCCTTCGCGGGCGCCCGCCAAATACCCTAGTAGCCAGCCTTCCTCCACGGGGCCCCGCAAGCCTCCGTGAGCCCCCGCTGAGCCTCCGCGGGCACCCGCAGATCTGCAGAGAGTAGCCCACCTGTTTCTGTTTTTGTGCTGAACTTGTCCCCTCTGCATTTTTTGTGTGGTTCTACTTCCTTGGAGTGGTTGGAGCTCGTGATGGAGTAGGAGGAGAGGGGTTTTTGGCTAGATAAGAGCCTTGATGCAAAATGATTGGATATATCTCATTCTTGTAAAGTTCTAGAGAGAGAAAGAGGGTTGAGAGGTTTTGGGTGTTCTTGGAGCTCAAAGGGCAACAATGGAGAGTTCTTCTTCATCATCCTTTTAATTCCTTGTAGTAATAGGTAACTAAAGCTCCATCTAGGGAGGTGATAAAGCCTCCCCTTGTAATCATGTACTAGATTAGGCTCTATTTTGGGGATAATAATGTATAATTTTTGGTCTTTTCATAATCTAGAGCATATTACTACTTGTAATGAATTCTAATGTTTATAATGATTGATGTAAGTTAATTATCTTGTCTTAGATGGTTCTTATATTAATCATAATGATTGCATTTTCATGGTGACAATGGAAATAAGATTATGAATGGTTTTCATGGCATGTTGATAGAGAAACTTGATAGTCCATTGCTTAGGTATTCCCTTTGATGGTTTATACTTGATTCCTAACTTCATGTGCTTTATCATTTGATTAAAGGTTTGATGATCTTTTGCTTAAGATAGTATGTTTGATGCTACACCCTAGTTTAGGTAGTTCAAATGTATAAACTTTTGATGGATCATTCTTGTTTTGATTTAATGAACTTCTTGATGATTATAAGGCAACCATGTGTTGCTGTATAATTCTTGACGATCATATATATGTATTGTCTATCCCCAATGTACTCTTGATCTAACATGTGTTCTGGGTTTAGTGCGGATTCATTTCCCTAGTCCCTTTGTAATTGTCTTTGCCTCTCTACTTCTTAGCATTACTGTTTTATGCATTTTTCAATTCATAATTTTAGTGACAACTCTCACAAACCTCTATACCCCATCATCATTCTAAAAATGATTCTAGACACCTTAGTTGCCATAAACTAGCAGTCCTAGTGGTTCGACTTACCCGACCAATAGCCCTATTTTATAATGATTTGTGCTATTGCAAAAAGGGTTGATTTATAATTGTAATCGATCCGTCGATCAGGTATCACAGTACTTTTGTTGCATTATCCGGGATGACGACGCGGGTGTGCGATAGACCTCATGTTATTTCTACATCTACGGGCGATACAGCTATTTCTAGATATTGGTAGACTTCGATTTCTAGCCAATCTACTGGTCCTGGATATACACACTTATGACATGATACTTGGGATGGATTAGTTATCTCATTACCATGCCCAAGTTAATTGTTATGATAGGTATATTATTTTGACTATACCTGGTGATGAGCGCTGAAAAGTGCGTATTTAAACCCCTTAAGCTTAGGCATTCTAGTATCTTTATTTATCTTACTTCACCGTTTTAGATTGATTTCGTATTATTTCCATTTTTAGGCACTTATCCCGAAAATAAGCTAACTCAGCCAAATAAGAGCAGAAATGAAGCAATTCTGGGATTAAATAAAGAAAGGAGCAAAGTGGAAAAAGAAAGAAGCAAATGAAGCCAAAGGTGGGAAACAACAAAGTTCGATCGATCCAATTTCAAGGTTCAATCAATCGAACACTGATCGATCTCAGTACTTCAAGATAGATCCAAACCTTGACCCAAAGTAGAAAGTCCAAAGTTCGATCCATCCAACACCACCCTTCGATTGATCGAACACTTTTGTCCTTATTCAAATGATTGATCTTATCCACAGTTGTACCACCCACTAACCACTTTTGTCCTTTTCCCAAAAATATCTCCCAAAATATCTCGGATTTGTCTTTTCCCAAAAAGCTCAACCAGTTGGATCGATCCAGCTTAAGTTCGATAGATCTCAGCCATGTTCGATCGATCCAAGTCCAAGGTTCGATCGATCGAACTTCCTCCAGTGCGAAAAAGTTAAATTTCCAGCTCATTGAAAGTTGTCCTTTATCCAATCATTGGGGAATATGATTTGCACGACCCCAGCTCATTTTGTGTGTCACTTGACCTACCTATAAAAGAAATATGATGCAATTTTTTAGGGAGACACTTAGCATTTTTGTAGATACAATTTTAGAGGCTATTCTTAGTGTAGAAGAAATGAGGAGGAGGCTAGAGACACCATTAGAGACTCTTCGTCAACCAAGGAGCAAATCTCTTCCATGGAGTTAGCCCTTAAGGGTTGGAGCAACATCACCATGAGTGGCTAGACATCCTCTTGGGGCTATAGTTAGCCCCAAGCATGCTTTCTATATCTTAATCTTGTGTATTATTGAGGGATTAGTATTGTAATTAATGTTTTGACACTTTGATATATATAGATCTTGATTGTTGAATGATTTATGTGGTTAAATGCTTTCAATTGATCATTTCATTCTATCCATATGTCTATGTATGTTAGAATAGATGTTCATGTGCTTGTCTCTAGATTTTGTGTTATTGATGCATGTCTATGTGTATTGATGCTATAGATTTAGAGGTTGTCAAAACATAGTGCTTAATGGAGTGCTCTTGTGATTTTCTTAATGGTTCATACTTATTCCTTGATAGATTATGCCTCTCCCTTAGTTTATTTTCATGCTAGTAGTGTAGATGTAGTGTAGTGTTAAATGGGAGAACAATCCATGCTTGATGTTTGATGATCCATGTTTTTAAATACAAGTAGCATATGTCTTTAACCTGGTGTTGTATTTGGATTGTGAGCTTAATGAAAGGATTAATGACTTGTTTTGATCTATTGTGCCTTTCACATGTTGTTTAGACAATATATGTTTCATTGCTTAGATATATTGTGCCTTTCACATGATGTTTAGACAATACATACTTAACTAGTCATCCTTACTTGTTGAATCAACCAAACACACACACACACACCAATATTGCAACACACCATTTGCCCTCATTAGTCACTTGTCAATGGTATAGAAATGCATTGCTTGGTGGTGATCTCTAAACCCCAAGACTCTTCTCTCTCTTATTTGCTCTTAGTTGCATTCTTTTGTTATCACTTAGTTTAATTTAGTTGCTCTCTAGTCTAATCAACCAACCAACCAATTGTTTGATCACTCTACCTACTAGCCCTAATAGTAATTCCACAACCTTGTTCGACCCTCACAATCCTTTAGGACGATCCCTACTCGCCCTAGCTATATTTATAGTGAAAGGTGGTAGTGGCTTTTATAAATGTAAAACTCTTGGCCCTCGCCTAAAATTCACACTCTCAAACTTGATGGTAGTGCGACACCACATGTCAGTTTTTAGCGCCGTTGTCGGGGATTAATTTGATTTGGCAACGTCGTAATTGTGGAATCAATTAGGATTAGTACTCTTTTGATTGTGTCTTTACTTTATTTTTCTTTTTCTTTTTTGTTACTTAACGTGTTTGTTCATCTTTGACAAGGAACATTGAGCTAGGAGCCAAGCAAAGGAGCATTCAAGCAAAGTAAAAAGCTAAAAATTTAAAAAAATTTGCTAAGCTGAGCTTTAAATTTGGAGTTCAAGTGCTAAAGGACCTTTGTGAGACTTTCTTCACTCAATCCCTTAGTTAAATTGTCTGCCCACGTGGAGGCTTGTTTTTAATTATTCTTTGCATCATTGTTGTTAAAGTATAGGAGTATGGGTTAAGTGTTTGTGGAGGAAATTTCATTGAAATTGTTGTGAAGGCATAGTGTTTGTCATTTTTTGTGCTTGTTGTGTTTTGCATTGTACATGCATGATCATAGATCGCTAAGACCAACTCTTGTCCCTCTTGATTTGCATCTTGAATCCGTAGTTAGAAATCCTTGGGAAAGAGGAAGTTCTAGTTCTACCCAATCCATTTCATCAATGGAAGACCATAATGACGATCATGTTAAGGACCTTGGTCACATAGACCAACAAAGTATTCTTCATCCTAATGTGCACAATGAGAATATACAAGTACCATTAGGCATGTCTAGGCCATACATTCACCAACCACCACAACAATAAGGCTAAGCTCCATATAGAATGCCAAGGCCAATGTATGCTCCACAACCTCGCATCATCAATCAAGGAATTCAAAACCAAGGTGTTCATGTTGCACCTCAAGTAGCTAATCCACCTCTTACTTTAAGAGACCATTATGTGCCTAATGAGTATAATGTACCTACATGCATCCAATTGCCTCCATTTAGAGCACATCATTATGAAATTAAGCCACAAACCATTCAAATGCTTCCTAACTATCATGGACTTCCAAGTGAAGAACCTTACAAGCATTTGGATGAGTTTCTTGAAGTATGTTCCACCGTAAAATATACGGACATGCCAGAAGAGGTCTTAAGACTCAAACTTTTTCCATTCACCTTAAAAGACAAGGCAAAGTATTGCTTTAACAATCTTAGGCCTTTTTCAATCACTTCTTGGGCAGAAATGCAACAAGAGTTCTTGAAGAAGTACTATCCGGTTTCACATGGGAATAGAGAAACATTTCATGAAGCATGGGAACGCTTCAATGATTTGCTTAGGAAGTGTCCACGTCATGACATGCCCAAATGGTAATTAGTTTAATATTTCTTTGAGAGCTTATCGGACAATTATAAGGGTATGGTTGATGCTTCCATGGGTGGCTCATACATTGATAGGCATGAGGAAGACGTGTGGCGTCTTTATGAGAGCATGAGTGAAAATTCGTTGCATAGAATATTATCATCCAAGAATGATAGAAATTCACAAGGTAGGAAGAGTGTTGGCTTACATCAAGTCGACCATTCAAATGAAATAGCCGCCGAAATGAAGTCTTTATCTCAAAGGTTTAATCAATTTTTTATTAACTAAAACTCAGCGAACCAAGTATCTTCTTTCCCTAACCATTCTCATCGTGCATCAAATGAAACATGTATGACTCATTGTCCTCATGGACAAGTGCAAAATGAACCTAATGAAGAAGTCAATGCAGCTTTTGTGAACCAAGGGAACAATCCTTACGGTACTCACTATAATCCAAGTTAGAGGAATCATCTAAATTTCTCTTGAAAAAACTAAGGAGAGGGCTTAAGCCTTTCCCAAGGCTGTTTTCAAGGGAAGTACATTCCACCTCCACTTCAAAACCAAGGATCCCAAGGTTATAGACCTTATCAATCACAAGGGAATCAATTTGCTAATTCTCATTTTCCCAACCAATCTTATTCCCAAGGAAATACTAGAAGTCCCGCCTTTGAAGAAAAAGTTTTAAATGCTTTGGGCACTTTAGAAGCTAACACTTAATTGCTTCATTCTCACTCTCAATCTATTGCGAAGCTAGAAACCCAAGTAGGGCAAATAGCAAGCACTCTCAATGCAAGAAAGAAGGGAAAGATGCATATTAATGCCCCACCTAAGCAACAATGTGTTGTGGAAACCCATTCCTCATCAGAAGGCCACACCATTGAACATGTTAATGCGGTGACTACCATGCGGAGTGGTAGGGTTATGGACAATCAAGTAAAAATGTCCAATGAAAAGAGTGAACTGGTGCAACCTCAAGTTGTCACCCATCCCGTTTCACATCCCATTCCTCCTTCATTGCATATACATGATCTTGTGAATGAGAAAATCTCGAAAAATGTGTTTGAAAAAGAAGTTTTGAAAAATGATGTTGAAAAAGTTTTGCTGAAAAATGAAGTTGAAAAAGTTTTGCTGAAAAATGATTTGAAACAAATTGATTTGAAAACTTCGTGTGTTGAAGAGAGTTCAAAAGAAAATTCTGAAAAAGTGTTTGAAAAAGTTCCATTTCCGGATGCCTTAAAAGGGTCTATTTCAAAGGAAAAGCAAAAGGCAAAAACCAATGAAATTATGGAAATGTTTAGGCAAGTAAAAGTTAATCTTCCACTTCTGGATGCAATCAAGCAAATTTCGGCTTGTGCCAAATTCTTGAAAGACTTGTGCACCCAAAAGTGGAAGAACAAGAGCCAAACACCAAGAAAAGTGGTTTTGACCGAGCAAGTAAGCTCAATTTTACAACATAACACTTTGCCAAAGTTTAAGGATCCCGGTTCACCTATTACTTCATGCATCATTGGTGATCCTATCATTAATCGGGCGCTTCTTGACTTAGGAGCAAGTGTTAACCTTCTTCCATACTCGGTTTATGTCAAATTGGGCCTAGGTGAATTAAAACCGATGTCGGTAGTTTTGCAACTTGCCGACCGATCCATTAAGAAGCCTAGGAGTGTCATTGAGGATGTTTTGATTAAAATTGATAAATTCTTTTTCCCGGTTGATTTCGTTGTCATAGACATGGAATCGGTCTCTAATCCTAAGAGCCAAATTCCTGTTATCCTTGGCCATCCTTTCTTGGCAACCGCTAATGCCAACATTAATTGTAGGACGGGGAAGATCTCATTTGGCCACATGAAGGTGAAATTGAATATCTTCAATCCCACACCTAATTCATTTGACAAATATGAAGGTTAGGTTAATGTTGCAGATAAATGTCTTGATCTTCAATGTCAAGGAAGTGAGCTTTTGTGTAAGACCAAATCTTCAAAGGGATCATCTTCAACCTTGCATTCTCAAAGTGTTGTTTCAAATTCTTGCTTTGAAAGGGCATGGAAGCCCAAAGGTTGTAATTGCATAGACAAAGGATCAAAAGTTTCTTTTGAGCTTAATCCAACAAGTTCTTCAAAAAACCATTTGTTGGGTGGAGTTCAAAGCATTTATCACCCCAACAAGGAAGGGATGCATTATAAGATCTTTGATCCGGGCTAAAAGAGCCCAATGTCTTGCTAGCGACGTTAAAGACTAGCAAAAACATTTCGTAGGGTGTCAAAACCCTATTCCTCCCTCATTTCTATCTTAAATTTCATTTCTTGTGAAGTCTAGATACTTGTTTTTGGTTTATATGCATTGATAGGAACTGTGATTAGGATTGCATGAATTTTTATGCTATGATTGAGCATTTTGCATAAGTTCGATCGATCTCAAATGAAAGTTCGATCGATCAAACTTCCACCTGCATCCAACACTTAGAGAAATTTTCGACCTGTATCCACCTGCATCCAAATCACCTCTCTGTCGTTCGAACTAATTCTCAGATCGATCAGAAGACCTTAAATCGATCCAACTTCAAAGTTTGATCGATCTAGTACTCTAACACTTAGAAAATTTTGAGCCAGCATCAACCTGCATATTCACCTCTCTGTCTCATCGATCGAAAACATTCCAAGATCGATCTGAACTTCTTCGATCGATCCAACTTCAAAGTTCGATCGATCTTCAAGTACCAACACTTAGCCAATTTTCTGAGCCAAAAACCTGCATATTTTTGCTCTCTGTCTGATCAATTGAACATTTTGTTCAGATCGATCTCAGTTCTTCACTTCTCTATTTTGACCCTTTTTTTTTTTTTTTACTTTACTTTGACTTTTCAAATTTCAAAAATCCAAAAATATTTTCATTTTTATTTTATTTTATTTTATTTTCATTTCATTTCATTTTATTTTATTTTTCAAAAAATTTTCAAAAATACAAAAATATTTTAGTTTTTAATTATTATTGATTGTTCAAAAAAAAAAAAAATCCAAAAATATTTTATTATATTTTATTGTATTTTATTTTACAATTTTTAATTTTAATTCTAATTTTTAATTTTAGTTTTTCATTTTTCAAAAATTTCAAAAAAAAAAAATAAATACTTTAAGGAGAGTTCATCAAAGTTCGATTTATCTGAAATCTCAGTTCGATCGATCGAACTAAATAGGGAAATGTTTTTAAAAATAAAACCGAGAGTTATGAGATCGATTACAAAGATCGATCCAACAACTCCCTACCCTACTCCTTGTTTCCCTCATCGTCGCCGTGAACCCCAATCACCCTCTCCATCTTCCTCATCTCCGGTGACACCTCCGGCGACATCAAGCTCACCCCGGATCTCACTCCCTCTTCATCTCCACTTCTCTCCTTTGGTTAAAGTAAGATCTGAGGCACCATGCTTGATTTCGGCTTAGATCTCATACGTACATGCTTTACATGTTCAATCCATGCCATTTTTTATGATGAAATCCACCATTGATGACCTTGAAGCATGTATGTATATATATGTATATGCTTTGTATATATTTACGTATTTAGATTCGATTTTGGGAGTATGGGCCTGTTTGGGTGATGGTAATTGATGATTTGTTGTGTTGATAGGCCCACGACTATGTCGTGAAGGCCCCCATGCTTCCAAAGTCACAGATCTGTGACCTTTGAGTTTTCACCTTTGCACAGTTCGATCGATCGAACTTCAATCTCAGATCGATCTTGAAAGATCAATCGAACTCATATCTCAGATCGATCGAAGTTTTGAGATCGATCTCAAACCTTTTTGTGACCGATTGAACTTCACAGATCTCACACACACACACTTCATTCATCATGCCTTATGTTCATACTATCTCATATATGCCCAATGCCTGTGATATTCCACATTAGATGCATTTCATACTTACATTGTTTAGCATGTTTCATATTTTGTCACTTGCATAGATACATGTCATATATGTTTTGTCTATCTTATTTGACATACATATTTCTATTTTGTGCTTTCAATTCTTAATTCTAGTACTAACTCCCCTTGCAAGTTTTTAAATTATTTTTTAGGCTATGACTAAGCGTAAGTCTGTTGCCAAGAGGCAACACGGGCCTCAGAGACATATCAGACCATGGATAGAGGAGCCAGCAGAGCCCTCTTATGCACAGGAGGAGCCAGTACAGCCTACTCCACCTCAGTCACCTGCTCATAAGGCTGAGGATGATCATATTCCATCCACCTCTGCAGCTCAGCCTGCATTTACACCATCACCATCTCTACCACATGCTGGAGCTGAGCATTCACCAGTACCATCTCCACCACGCCAGCCAGCTCAGAAGCGTGATAGGCCCGCGCCTAGATATGCGCATATGGCAATAGACTATGAGTCAGTGTTCGACACAGCCTTTTTCTCCAGATCGGTGCTGACTCGATCAGCTTACCATGACATCATTCAGAGGGGCCTTGCAGCTATTCTTACCCTAGTTACAGAGCCAGTCTACTCGCGGCTGGTACGGTTGTTCTTCCAGAACCTTCGACCACCCCCACGAACCACAGCAGAGCTAGTCACTACCATAGATGGCTATCAGATCACTATCACTGTGAACTCGCTAGCCTGCTCTTGCCATTGTCCACACAGATGCCCTCCGGAGCTACAAAAGCTATATCTGAGGCTATACAAGCCTTCTTATGCCGACATGGCGATATTTCTTACAGGTCACCATGCCGGTGGCGAGACTTTCACCACCCACACATTCCTTCCAGATGACCTATAGTTCTTCGATTCCGTTCTCTTTCGGAATATATATATGGCCAGGCACAAGATCCAACGGAGAGGAGACTATCTGACAACCCTCTATGCCTTCTACATAGGCCAATGGGTATCTATTCCTGCGCTCATCTGGAGCGTGATGAGGAAGCTATTTGACGAGTATATTAGCAAGGAGAAGCCCGGACGGGCTAAGTCTCTCCCATTCGGCCACCTCATCACCTAGA